CCCGCGGGTGCCGGCGCGGCCCCGGCGCGGCCCCGTTACCTTCCAGCGCCTCGAAGATCGCCTGCGCCATCTTGGAGCGGCGGCGGGAGCGGCCGCGCCGCCAGGGGGCGCCCTCCGCCCGCAACGCGCCCTCAGCGCGGGAGGGGCGGGGGCGGCCCCGGGGTTGGTTTTGGGGAGGGGGGAGCGTTTAACTCGGTGCCGCCGCTGCAGCCCGCGGAGACGGGGCAGGCGCCGCGCCGCGGCTGCCCACGCCCCACTCGGGCTCCCGCCGCGACCCCCGCGCCATGACCGGGTGATGCCGCTCCAGGCCCTCAGCGGCACCCACAGGGAGCGGGGTGGGCGGGACACAGTCCGCGGCGCCCATTGGCTGCGGGGCAGGCGCTCCGCACCAATGAGCGGTTGAGATGGCGCCATCCGCGGTGATGGACAGGCGGAGCAGCCTATGGGCGCGGCGGGCGGGGCGCGGGCCCCGGAAGCGGCAGGTGGCGGGGGTGCCATGGCCGGCGGGGCCATGGCGGGCGGGGAGGGTTCGCTACGCGCTCTGCTCCGCGCCGCCAACGCGCTCCTGCAGCAGCGCCGCTACCATGCCGCGCTCGCTGTCATCAAGGGCTTCCGCAACGGCGCCGTGTGAGTGCTGGGCCCCTGGGTGCCTGGGGTATCGGCCCACCCCGGGCTGTGCGAAGGCCGGAGATGCGGTGGGGGGGGTACGGGGGAGGTGGTTCCGCCTCTCTCAGCTGCCGTCGGGGTCGTTTTAACTGGCTTTGGGGTCTCTTTTGGGCCTGGCTCGCTGTGGTGTGTGTGCTCTTCCCCCTCGGGCTGGGCTCCTCCCGGTTTGTTGTGCTGCTGCTGCTGGGTCGGCTTGAAAGTAATATATATTTGTTAAATAACCTCTTTAATCTGTCAGAATAGCAACACAATTATTTCATAGTGTAATGCAAGAACTCTGAAGTGTCTGTCTGCTCTTGCAGCTATGGAGCCAAAATCCGTGCCCCTCATGCCCTGGTGATGACTTTCCTGTTCAAGAGCGGAAGGTACAAGCCCTAATTCTTGCGTTTTTTACGTCACTGCTTAGGATGTTTTCACTCCAGCTGTCTCTTTTTCATGTTTCCAGGGGGTTTAAAAAGAAGAAAGGTACGTGAGCTGTGGTTGAGCCTGTTCTGTTAGTGAAGCACACACAAATATACGTAGTTGGGGGGGGTTAACCACTCATAGGATGGTTGGTGAGAACCAGTGGATAGGGGAGGAATTAGAAGATGCCAGCAGCAGTGCTCTGCTCCCCATGGATATATGGGAACCTAGAGTAGAGCAGAGCACATTGTGGCTTTCTCTGCTTATGCCAGAGGTTTGCATTTAGGCAAAAATTTAAAAAAAAGGACTGTTTGACTGTTCAGAGAATGAGACAGAGGTACAGTCTGCAGTCTGTGCTCTGATAGGGGGATCAGAGGTGAGGGGATTTCTCCTCCCTCACAAAATATTCCACAGGATGCTGTCAGTGAAGGTGAGGGGAGTAGTGACCAGGCTGAGTTGAGTGCAGGGTTGCTGCCTTTTCCCTCTCCTAATTGTCTGTTCCTTTTCTTCAGTTTGAGGGAGAAGCTGAAGGCGATTGCTCAGGCCACCTACGCCCACTCCCGGAACTTGGCCTACTTCGTGTTCACCTACAAGGGGCTCATGGCAGCGCAGTCCCGGCTGCAGGGGAAGAAAATCCCATTCCATGCTTTCCTTGCAGCCTGCATTGGGGGCTGGCTGGTGTTTGGTGAGAACAATCCCATCAACAGCCAGGTAAATGCACTCGCTGGAAGTTTCTTTGACCGGGAAGAACAGCAGGTGTGCCAGGAAGTGGTTGGTGGCTTGTTCCAGGTGGTTCTGACCGTGCAGCAATTACTCTTTTATCATGTTCTTTGCACAGATTCTTGTTTTGCCTGCTCTGCACTCCAGTCCCAGAGGTGGTTGTGTCCCTCCATGAGCAGTTGGAGTGCTAAAAGCTCAGGTTTACCTTCAAAGCTGCACTGAATTCCTAGGGAGGCAGGCAGGTGATCCAAAGCTTTTGGGTTATCCCAGCTGTCACCTGAGCTGTGGTCACTGACTCTGCTCCTGGTCTGCCCATTGCAGGGTTAAACCCTTGAATTTGAGTGTGGTGAGTGTGGAACATGATCAGTTACTGAGCTACACTGAACTAAACTGGTTAAACTGACAAGGAGTTGGACTTTGATGATCCTTGTGGGTCCCTTCCAACTCAGAATATTGTGTAACAACTAAACAGGTTACACTGACAAAAGCTGCTCAGGGGACATTGGAGTTAAAGCTGGTTCTTAACACACGGTCACAGATTAATGAGTAAAACACAGAGATGCAGATTAGTCCAGAGTGTTCTTGAGCCTGGTTTTAGGCTGTGTCCAGGCTCCTGAGTTCAGATCTGCTTGGCAGGTGAACAGGGCTGCTCTGGGTCTGTTCTGAGGTGGCATTAACTGAGCAAAGACAAATTTGTGCAACTGTGACGATATGTTGTGTTAAGTTTAACTTGTAGATTGCTAAATTAGAGCAGCAGCAGAGAAACAGGACTTTGAGGATGCAGAGAAGACAACAAACACTTGTGGTTTTACAGGCTGTTGGTGTGTGAACCACAGCCTGTTTGCTTTTAAGTCGGGTAAATCGTTCCCACCCCTCTCGGGTGGATTATGGCTTCTGAACCTCAGCCTGGCTGCTGTGTGAGCTCAGCTTAACCCAGCTGCTGTGTGAGCTCAGCTTAACCCAGCTGCTGTGTGAGCTCGGGTTGTTCACCCAAAGCTCTCTGGGTTTCTCCCCTGCAGATCATCATGTACCTGCTGTCCCGGATCCTGTTCGGCCTGTCCCGGCTGGCTGTGGAGAAGGGCTACATCCCACAGCCCAAGCAGGATCCCTTCCCCCTCGTGGCTGCCCTGGTGTGGGGGACAGTGCTGTGGCTCTTTGAGTACCACAGAGAGACTCTGCAGCCCTCCCTGCAGTCCTCCATGACCTACCTGTACGAGGACAGTGAGGTGTGGCACGACCTGTCTGACTTCCTCCTTTACAACAAAAGGACAGACAGCAAGTAGGTGCTTCCCTGCAAAGCACCTTTGGATGGGATGGGACCTCTGGGCAGCTGAGGGGAAAAGGTTTTTCTGTTGCTCTTGACCTGGGATTTTTTAAATTTACATCTGTCAAGCAGAGTTGCCTCTTGTATCCCGGCCAAAATGTTCTGATTAGTCTTTTGGCTCTGTTTAGAGCAAGTAAACACCCCACAGAAACTGTCTGCAGAAACGCACACCCCACAGAAACCTGCTGCAGTCTTTTTTAAGAGGCCTTTTTTTCCCCTCTGTGTTTGGGTTTGAGGTTTTCTGGGTATTGTTTTTTAAGAAACTAAATATAACTTACAAAGAGACGGCCTGGCAGTAAGTGGAGAGCATGAAAACATGTTTTAGGGCTCACCTGAATGCTCACAAGTGTTTTTTCTCTGTGCTGCTGTGCTCACCGTGGTGTGGTGGGAGTGGGGGACATCATGAAAGCAGGGACATTGTTTTTTCATTGCTGTGGATGGCTGGAAATCCTGCTTAAACTATTACAAGGACACATTACAAGTTGTGTGCTCCTTGAGAGAGAGTTTATCTGGACCTTTCCCTCTGGGAGACAAAAAAATATTTGAGAATAAAACTGTTAAGATTGTCTTGTACAAGCCTGGTAAATCATGCTTGGCAGGACTATTTTTGCTCAGTTTCTCCCATGCACTTGGGCTGAATCTGTGCCTCTGCAAAGTGCACTAATTAATACCCTGTAATTATTTTAAACTTACTTGTAAAGTTTTTAAAAGCTGCTTGAACTAAATACCGAAATCAGTTATGCAACTTGGGCTCCTCTGCAAACAGGCCGGGGCGTGTTCCCGCCCTCAGATCTCACACTGAGCTTTGAGCAGGCACTTTTATTTTGGGGGAAGGCACACATGGGTTTCTCTTAGGGCCAGGATCTGCCCTCCACAGGAGTGGCAGGGGTTGGCTGTAATCAAATTGGAATGTACCTGTAAGTTTGTGCAGGTTTGCTGCTGGGCCAGGTTGAGGCCATGGATGAATACATGAGTGACTCTTAAAACTGCTGAGCTCCAGGACGGTGCAGCACACTCTGGGCTGTAGCAGAAGATTGACTAAACAACTGAGAAAGCACAAAAACTGCTTTAAAATTAATAAATTCAAGCTGTTAATACACTGCCATGTGACACTACAGGGTTCGCTCGATCATGTGCATTCAGATAATTCCTGACGCACTGGTTTGATGTGGTGAAGTTTCCAAGAGAGTCATTAAGTTCCCTGTTCCCTTTTGGCTTGGCTGGGACTGTTTTGTTTGCTCTCCCTGTGTCCATTTGCTTGTTCCTGAGCTGCTCATGTCATTGCATAATCATGCTGATGCTGTTTTCATCATGTTTTGAACTCTCTTTACCTTCCAGGCTCTGGCAGTTTGTCCTATGCAAAGGTACAACTGAAACAGTACATTGAACTTCAGGTGGCTTTTGGGTAGAAAAAAATTCCCAATTTCTTCTCAAGTGATTTTTCCTTGCCCTCCTAAACTCTTTTGTTACTCTTATGCATATTCAGAGTGCTGCTTTATTCTTTGTCTTCCCACTTTTCTTTGAGCTCGTGCCATGCAAACCCCTGATTGTACATGGTGTCCAAAAAACAAGATACTTCTTTGCCATGATAACTGTCTGAGGTACCTTTAACTCCTAGTTTCACCTGCTATTACAGTCTGGACTAAATACTTCAATTGGAACATTAATCAGCATTTCATCAGACCCCAGGAAAGTTATAAAAATCAGGAATTGGGTTTGTTTCTTTGTGGTTAAATATTTTTCTTGGCATAGATAAGCTTAAAGATTCAGATACAGAAAAACTACTGAAGCTACAGATTAGGTCTGATTCCTTCATAAACATCTTTATTTGCTGGGCAGCTGAAGCATCACGATTTTCCTGTCAGAAGCCTCAGTGTTGTTCCAAATGAGAACATTTGTATTCTGCTAATATTGCTGAATTCCTCCAAGCTTCGATGGGATTTCAGAAAACCCTTCCACAGCCTGACAGCTGTGGCTTGGGAATTTCTCCCTAAAACTATTAGACTCACAAATCCTTGACCGTGTGTAATTGTCGCAGCCAAAGATGGCACGGGGCTGGTTCTGTGAGAAGTTTTTAATCTTGTTTAATTTGTAGCTGGTGTCTTCTTCCTCTGAGAAAGGCTTGTGATTCCCTTAGAGGCGAAATAATTTCCTTTTGCTGGTAGTTGTACCACTGCAACCGAGTGGCCGCTGCTGAAGTTCTGAAGCACAAGTGGCCTGTCCTTTGTACCCAGATGTCTGTGCTCTCTGGAAGATGAATCCAAGCCAATACCCACTTTATAGGATCAACCTGGCAGCAGTGACTGTGTCACCGGTTCAAAGAAACACCCTTTTTCTCCTGGGAACGTCCCCCCAGTCTCACTTTGCAAGCCCACCGTGCCCAGGCCTCCAGCCATCTGCACTGGAGCCCCGGGAAGCAGCTGCCATCCCTGGGAGCCGCGGCTGCTCCCTGCCTGCCCAGCCGGGCGTTGGGACCGTTGGTGTTCCCGCTGTGCAAGTCACTGCTTTCCCCAGGGAAGTAATTGGAACAGCTCCTTAATGACATCAGCCCCCAATGCTGTCCCTGGGACCAGATAGCTGGGGATGAGCCCCTTCTGCCGCCAAGGTGTCGGAACAATGCGGGCGTGTAGTAGGGAAGTGAACTAGAAGTAATTTGTCTGAGTCAGACTTTTGGGATACGTAAGTTACACTCCCTGCCCTCCCCCAGGGCATTGTGTGGGGAGTTGAGCCCCCTGTTTGGGTTCCTTTTTTTTATTAGCATTAAAACCAGAAGAAATAAAGAGACAGTTGGGAAGCCACCTGCGAATCCGCCAAGTGCTTAAGGATCACAAAGAAGTACCATTTTCTCCCCCCCCACCCCCAGCCCTGACTGGTTTTGAATTTTAAGATGAACATGGGTTTGTTTGTCTACAGCAACTTTATTTTCTCTTGTTGTTATTTCTTCTTTGACACCTGGCTTATGCTGAGTGTCTCTAAAGAGGAGCAGAGTGTCTCAATCTTAGCTCAGTTCATAAAAAATTAGGATTACTGGATAAAAGTGATGTTTAAAATGATAATTCTTCAGATTTTAAGCCTCTTTTAGAGGCAGTTTTAAAGGTTAATGAATCAAACTGATCAAAAGTTTTCAGCAAGCCTGAGCTTCTCAAGCAGGCTGACTATCCTGAGCTATTAATCATTTATTTTATGGAGGAACAAAGCAGGCTCAGGGTTGTTTACTGATGCTGCCTGCTGCCCTGGCATACCCACTGTGCTTCCCTTCCCTTTGGAGGACACCTTGTGTACTGGTGCTGGCTCTCAGGATGGCTGGAGAACAGTTTCCGGGACAATTACATTATTTAACAAAGGTGAAAATTAAATGGGTGCCTGACATTTGGGTTAGCTAAGGATTTCTGTGCTGTGTTTGATCCTGTCAGCTAAGGGGAGCACATTTCTGCAAGGAAAACCTGTGCTTGTCCAATAAGTGCCACAGAGAAGCTCTTGAGAAGGTGTGAGCCTGTGTCTGCAGCATGACAACAATAACCAGATAAATGTCCATGTTCAGGACAGGTATCATAGAATCATGGAATGGTTTGGGTTGGAAGGGACATTAAACATCTACTCCAGCTTCCTGCCATGGGCAGGGACACCTTCCACCAGCCCAGGTTGCTCCCAGCCCTGTCCAACCTGACCTTGGACACTTCCAGGGATGGGGCAGCCACAGCTTCTCTGGGCAACCTGGTCAGGGTGGAGAGGCTGCAGAGGAGCTTTGATGTCAGTGCTGTGAGACTTCCTTGCCCTGGTAGAATAGATCAAAGCTCTGCTTTAGACCAGGTTGGGTGTGGGTAGAAATGCAGGGATGATCCCTGGCTGGTGAAGGAGATCCAAGCCAGGCATCTGTGGGGACCCCCATGACCCCCTGTGCACACTGAGCTTGTGGAGTGACCAGAACCCTGTGGAGATACCCTCACACAGGAGAAACTCCTGGGATTCCAACTCATTTTCACTGGATCAGCACAAATGTGACCTTTGGATAATACCCCGAGCCGTGTGCTGCTTCCTATTGCTCAGGTTGTGTTTGTGTTCCTGGCTCGTGCCAACCTGAGCAGAATGTGTTTTCTGATGCTGCTTTTGAAATCCAGCAGATAAGGAGGGGGAGGGGAAATAAGGCATAATGTCTGTCTGCCACTGTTAATATTTCAGGGGTGCTAATCTTGAATTGTCAACCTGTGTGTTCGTACCAGATTGCTGGAGGAGGTAACTTTTTTCTTAGAAGAATTTTCATCTGTCTCTGGTGATGAGGAAAGGAGAAAAGCAAATTAAAAACTCTCTAATACAAGCATTATTACCTCTCTTTTTGGCATATAATTTGTGCTCATAATTGCTGTGTAATCCAAGCCCTGATTTTCTGATGGTGTAGAATAAAGTTATAAACTCAGGTAACTTGTATGACACTGATCAAAATGCTTGTAGGAATTTCTCAGGTTTTGGTTTTAAAACATGCAAAAGAGGGGGCAGTGGGTTGTTGATGTAGCTCTGTCTGGTCTGAATTGATTTCTTATGTGGATTTTATCTGTATAATCACTCTTTGAATATTACAATACCATGCTTTCTATAAGAATAAAAAAACCTAATTTTTTGTGGGTTTTTTACTGTCATCATTATTAAGCTAAAATATATGAAGTGATGCTTGATTATTGCATGTCTCTGGTCCTGTTTGGACCATGCATGAGGTGCATTTTTGCCATCAGTTTTGCTCCTGTGTTACCAGCATTGACCACACATTCAGATTTACCTCCTGCAACACTGGCTGGGATAAGGATGCCAACTGCAGGAACAAATTGGGGTGGCTGTCATCCCTTACCAAACACTCCTCTTTGGGGCAGGAGCCTGTGGCAGGACCCTCTGCCAGAGCAGGGCACTGGGCACAAGGCTGTACCTGGTCTGCCCCTCAGATAAAATAGGGACATACACAAATAAGGAAAATAAGGATGTGTGGGGGTGATCTCACTGCCTCTTCCAAGCTGTAAAGGTGACTGCTGTGGGAGTGGGGATGAAGCAACCCCTGTGTGAGGAGCTCCCTGTGGATGGCACAAGCAGGGGAAGGAGGTCCCTCTGCCAGGGGAGCACTGAGTGGCTGTAAGACAAAAGCTCCTGCTTTGTAGCGAGAAGCCAAATTAATGCCCTCAAATTGATGCCAGTCCTGCCTTGAAGTGATTTTTTTACCTCCTCACAAAGCATCATACTCTATCTGAGCCCTTCTTCTGCTCCAGGTGAAGCTCTGAGTCACCTACAGGTTTTACTCTGACTCTTCACCTGCTTTTTGGGTTCCCAGTTCCAGTGACCGTGCTCTGAGCCTTCTGGGAAGGGAACTTGGGCTGCTTTGTCACTAAAGCTGAGTAGAAGCTGAAGCACAGAAGGCAACATCAAGGGGTATATTCCCAAATTACTCCTTGATGACTCCCAAGAAGCACTTCAGCCTCTCCATTCCTCCACAAGGCTTGAGTGAAGGAAATGGAAGAGCCCTGTGGAATGGAGTGGCTTTTAGCCATGGGGCTGGGAAGTGTTTGTTTGTACTGCTCTGCCTCACAGAGGCTGGGACAAAATTGTCCTGTTTGGGTGTGAAGAGCAGAATGGGGGGTGAATGGGCTCCGTGCCCCTGTTGCTTCCACTCAAAGACTCCATGGATTGGTGTGAGCTCTGATAACAGATGCCATCCTATGAGAGAAGGAACTAACACTGAGTCTGTTGTGCCCCGGCATCCAAGAGAGTAGCTGGTGTAGTCATCTGTAAACAATGCAAGGGAATAGGCAGTTCCGGGCTCTAGGAGGAGACACCTAAGCCAGGGATGCTGTCCTTCTGCCACAAGCAAGCTTAGATACTCTAGATAATCTGTGCTACCAGAAAATCGCTTTGGTTCCTGTAGAACAAAGGCAATGGCTCTGGTGGTGGAGGGTGGAGCAAGAACAGGTGAGGGGGTGAGGTCAGGACAGAACTGGGGGGCTCTGGGCTTTCCCCAGCTGCCTGTCCCCTCTGCAGTGAGGTCTCCAGGTCCTCTTGCACTGAGAGCTGCACCCTCATGGGAACAAATCAAAGCACTGGGAACAGGAGCATTGGCAGGAGACCCTGGGAGAAGTCCTGCTGCAATCATTCCATGTGACAGCTCAGCACACTCCGTGTGGGAACTGCTGAAGACTGGACCAACTGCAATGACAAGGACACTAAATGTGTTCCTGGGACACCCACATGCTACACTTAACTGAGCACAGGGATGTAGGTTTGTATCCTGCCTGCTCCTGCTGCCAGAAGATGATTTTCCATGGCACCAGCTCTGGCTCCACCTGCAGCCCTGCTCTACATTCTTCTGTCCATGCAGAGACCAGCAGACACCCCTTGACCTGCGTCTACCCCACTGTGCAGGGCAGCCAAACCCACCCAAACTCAGGGACTGTGGTGGGGTAAATCCCGTTGTGGTACAAACTGTCCAAACATCCTTCCTGATCCTCTCCAGGACCAAGTGTGACCGTGGAGACAGGGCTTTATCTGCGTGCAGCACCCGCCAGACAGCTAATCTTGGGAGCACGTCTGCACTCCTTAGCAGGGCCGGCGAGGCCGGGGGGAGGCTGCAGCTGTGCAGGAGACGGGATTCATCTGCTTCCCCTCATATGCATGCAAGGAAAGCCCCTGCCCGCCCCTCTCCCGCCAGCGTTCGCCTTTCATTTGTCTCCACAGCCGCCCTTTTTCGCGCCACTGAAAGCCCTGGAGAAGTTGCAGCGCAGCCAAGCAGCTCCGGGGAGAGGGGGCAGAGCTGCTGCCCCCCCCCGGATAAGCTCCGCATGAATTAGGGGAGGACCCAGCCTTTGTGAGCAGGGCGGGAGCAGCTGGTGCAGCAGCTGTGTCCCAAACCCCGCTGCAGCCCAGGAAGCGCCTGGCTGGGGCTCCCCAGGGATGGGGAAAGCACTGCCAGCCATGCGCTCCCGCCAGGCTGGTGGGGCTGCCTTTTCTCCCCCTCCCCAGATGGAAGAAGCATTAACTGCGTGCAAACATCTGGTCTAACTGTTGCTTGTGCATCACAGTAATGATGATCCTGCAGTGGAAGGGCTCTGGAGAGCGGGCCCTGGAATATTAGAGGGGCCAAGTGTTAATTAACTGTATTAATTTCCTGTAAGCAAGGCAGCGTTTCCATTTGCTCTCTGCTGATGAAGAAATGAGGCACAGCGAGCTGATGTGATTGGTCACGGACATGCAATATGTTCCTGGTGTATTTAAGGATGTGGGGATCCGGGGAAATCACGGCACTGACAGTCCTCAGGGGAATTACAGCCACTGCCAAAGTATCCAGCAGAAAATCCTTTGAAGCCAGAAACCTGTTAGGCCAGAGCAGGGGCACTGCATGTCAGGATTTGCTCTGCAGCACAGGAGTTAATTCAGCCCTGGGAATGCCTCCTGCATCCCACGCACTGCTGGAAAAAACACCCCATCTCCTCACCCAAGGCAGGTCAGGGGCGGCAGCAGGGCCGGGGCAGGAGCCAGCACTGGCCCACAGCCCTGCCTGGCAGCACCAAGGGGTTGGGGGCCACTGTGCTCCACCAGGAGGCCCCCTGGGGACCTGTGGGGCAGCTTTTGGGGGGCACAGAGGGGTTAAACCCTGGGCTCGGCTCAGAGGGGCTTTGGGTGCCTGGCTGAAACCCCCTCACTCCACACTTCCCTCACAAGCTTCAACATCTCTGGGCCCTGCAAAAGGTCTAATCTTTAAGTGCTTTTTAGGTTTTCTTAATAGCAGGATGTATTTTTTTTTTTTTTCATTTTTAATTCTGCCTTCTCATGCAGCGGGGGGGTTATCGGTGTCCTGCAGGCAGCAGATACCGGCGGTGGGAGCCGCCTGTGCCTGTCTGGGGGTGGACTATCATCCC